TTTTTTTAAAGGAATTAGAATTTTCAATGATATGTGTTTGAAAATTACTTTGCGGTTTGAAAAACCAAAATGACGCAATCAAGGTTATTACATCCGTCGCTATGGGAATGCTGGTTTAAACGGAAAATGTTGAGATGTGAAACGACCAAACTGTTGTTTCATTTCAACACCTGTTACTTTTTTTGACCTACATTATTAATGAAAACTGTATCAAAGGGAAGTAACATAGTATAGCTAAAATTCACCACAGCGAGGAAAATGGCTTGTTTAATTTTGGTCCTAAGTATGGTCCGGATTTGAACGCAGTCTCGAAGAATTCTTAGTACACTCATCCTTCGCCCCCCCCCCCCCCGGGATGGTTATTTTCAGCCTTCTTAGTTTGTGCGGTTTCCAGGGTACCCAGGAAGTCTAATGTTTGTCTAGACAACTGCAATGGTTCCTATTACGCTGTACACATGTATTTTGGTGTTTCAAATATGAAAGATGAAAGCAATTTTCCCTTGAAAACCACATATAATTAATCTGGAATAAAAAAAAATTAAACAAACCAAAGCAAGCTAAAAGGGTACATTTCAAAAAGATAGTCCGAATCGGCTGTGTTAATAGATTTTTTGCTGAAGAGAGCTGTTGTTTCCCAATTGAATTTTGCATTTTAATTATCACTTGACCATAAGTAGTCAATTTGTAGGAAAGTCAACAATACAGTGACTGTATTGTTGCCAATGAGTGTAGAAACTTTCGTTATATTCCGTAAGGAATTATACTTGTGAAAATTGACAAGGGGCACGCAATGACTCTTTTCTGCTAACAGCTTCAGATGAGACGAAAAGGCCTCCTAAAACTTTCTAGACGACCGAAGTTCCCTTAAGACATCCGAACAGGTAGATGGTTTTGAGTCTTTTAAGGCGACAACCTCCAAATTAAACCTGAAACGTAACAGGCTGCAAGCATAGAGAAAACTATTTGAGACACTTCTGACGTAGTATTTGGAAACACAATTGGCCGTTGGGCGCTCCTGATTGAGATAAAACAGCGACTCGTATTTTGCAATGTCACTCTAAGTGGTAAATGGATATTCGGCACTGTAATTAGGCACATGACGCACGATGTAATTCAAGGAAGTAGTTTGAAATCACGCGACGCGTTTTCCTGCGGATTATATTGTATTTATCATGTTACCTTTTACAAAAATTATCGGTAAAGATTGAGCGTAGCGACTTTGACGCGAAATTCCTGCAAACTTTATTTTCCATAGGCCTGGCCAGATTTTAGGCACGAAAGATGAGGAGCTCATTCAACTCAGGGTGAAGCGACTTTTAGACAAATTTTTCTCGTTTAGCACAGCAGCTCGTAACTGGAGGTTAAGCATATTCTTCAGCCGTTTGTCAGAGTGCAGTTACATAGTCTGCTCTCCAGTCAAGGGCAAGTACCAACCCTGGGCAAGCGCTACCTAGCCAGGGGCACCCAACGACAATTTTCGGAAAATATCTGTTCGGAAGACGATTTGAGATCTACAATTTTCGGAACATTTGTTGTAAAATTTCTTGCTTGCCTACCTCTCCTAGGATTTTCGAACATCTAAATAATGGTATAATTGCCTATTTTTAACGGAGTTTTACCCTAAAAAGGTCACCTAGAATTTTCGGGAGCCTTTTTTCTGGCTGGAATTTTCGAAAAGGTAAGTTTTGATCCCTATAATTTTCAGATCATTAGACTTTCAGCTAGGAATTCCGAACAGATGAAAAATTTTTAGGGGATAAAAATATGCCTATATCTACCATTTAAATACTAAAATACGTTTAACAATGCTATGTTTAAGTGGTTTTGAACTATATTCTCGTTGGGTGCCCCTGCCTAGCGGCACAGATGCCGTATTTCCAAGCATCCAATAAAAAAAACCCCCAGATTTTTGGCAATTCATCTAAAGTTTCATGTTGAAGTTTTATTTAATTAAATGACCAAGAAGACAAAAGAGAACTTAGAATAAACCACTTTCGTGTACAGCACAGGTGCTTATTTTTAAGTTAGAGCCGTAAATACGGATAGACGGCGTATTACCTAGTAGAATTACTGCTATGTTAGAGGGAAGAGCGATGATACCATTGCCACATCTGCGGAAACTTGGTTTCCTTTAAAATAAACGCATGGTAAACATTTTCCTCTATCCACATAGGTAGCGGGCAGAAACCGTGTTTCTGAATTTTGATTCCTTGTGAGTAAAGAGAAGTTCTAGAAAGTCCATTTCTTTGGCTAAACTTGATTTAGCGGGAAAAATGTAGTGCGGCATTTCAGTCGAACTGTTGACTCAACAGCCGACTCATTCTACCTGCTTCAGGCTGGTCGAGTAACGTTCTTTTAAGAAAAAGAAAAAGTTTAATCTGTCTTTTCGTTTTCAGTCTCAATATTTTTCTTGCTATTCAGTTAAGAACCATAATGATGGGATTTCATTTGCAACCTTTTTTGAAATCTGCTGTCATGTGCAATATATGTTTATTTAATGTTCATCTCAAGCAACTTTCCATGCAAACTGGTAAATATAAGGTTACATATAATCTACTTCATTCAGATTACATTTATTTAATTTTTTCAGTGTTGGGAAGATGGACAAAGTTCTTTAAAACGCGACCTCATGCACCGGGTCCACACTTCATCCCCAGTAGCGTCGCCTGCAGCTAGATGACCGGCGGTACCGGTATCGCCGACGGGTCTCATGTGATCGACGCCGTGGGCGATAGTTATAGATGAGGGAGCGGACTCGTGGACTGGTATATTTGACGTGGCGGCACAAAAAAGCCTTAGGAGCTGCTACTGGGTCTTCTAGCATAGACTTGACACTGAAAATATAGGAATAATTGATTTCTTAGGTTATTTATACATCAGTTCGTAATCTTCTTTTCCTCGCTTCTCAGGACAGCCCGAGTCAGTTCAGTCTGTTTGAACTATGAGTGATATTTGTGTACTATGTCTTGTTTTCAGCAATTCATATAATATATCAAGGGCCCCAGGACCATTTGATTATTGGGGCGGCACATACCTATATTCACTTAGAACCTGCTTTTGTGTGGTGGTAAAGCTGAGTAATGTACATGAAAAATACTTTAAAAAAGAAACATGTTAACTCAAGTCAAATGAAAGTCACAAATTTTCATTTATGAAATATCCAGCTATATTTATAACGTTCAAGGAAAATGAGCCTCATCCAAAACAGCTTCCTTCACTCTTTTCCGATTTGCAAATCTCTCAGTAATTCCTTCATTGGCAACATACGCCGTGTGTACGTTAGCCGTGTATTGTTGCTGATTGTTGTTACGATTGTAACAAAACCTCAGAATTCACAAAGGCCAACCATTTCTTCATATCTTTTAGGATGTCCTCCTTCTTTAGCGAAACTTCGAAAGGCCACGGAGTATTCATCACTATTTTTTCCATATAAATAAGCTTTAACCAGCTCGAATCCACACGTTCCAAAGTCTGATCTGTTTCGATCTGTTACCAAAATAACCGATATTTTGAACCGCCTCGGGAAAATAGTTCCATAAACAAAGGCCTTAACGCATCAAGTAGCCCGGCTTTTCGTAATTCCGTATGTCCTAATTTGCCGAAAGAAAACTGAATCGCCCATAAAAATCTTAGTTTCTTGCTTTTTGTTGCTCTTATTGGTTCGGGCCTGCGAAGTTGGGACGACAACAAGAATCCTGTTGTCGGCAAACGGATTATCCCAGAGGTCCCGATCCCTCTCGCTGACCAAAGGGATCGCGGCCTCTGGGAACGAGATTGGACTTCCGGTTGACGTTTGTGACTACAGCGCGTAGCAGCAAACTTCATAATCTTGCGCCATCTTGTGATGGTTAGAAAAAGGGCTGGAAACTAGACATTTTGTAAGCTTTATCGTGATTGGACATGTTAAAAAAGCAGACTAATACAACGCTTAAATTTTAATTGGTGTTTACTTAGAGTCCCGGGAAATCTAAAAACAACGCGCGAATAGCGGCAGCTTTGTTCTGATTCATTCATAACTTATGAATGAAGTACGTATTTTTTTATGCACAGTTTATTGGACATTTTTGCTCTGTTTGTAGTTTTGTTTTCCATTTTTTCTGTATGAATCTAGATTCTGCCCCTTTTCATTGAATTTTGCCTCGCTAGTTTTCTACTTATCAGAAAAGGTTGTTTTCAGTGATTGCATTTAGCTTTCAATCTTAAATAAACAACACGAATCACTTTTTCAGCAGTCGGTTATCGCCGTTTTCATTTGTTTGTTATAGCTTGTTACTCACATCGCCTTCTTTTATTCGAATTCAATTCAAAACCTTAAAATTCGTTTGTGTAATTAGCTCCTGTGTAGTTTTCATCTTGCTCGATTGAATTAATCTTAAAGCGCGATTTTTTAATTATTCAGCCGAAGAAAATCCGGCTTGCTGTATTTTTTTCCTAGGGCTTTTAATATCAAACTGGTCAGTTCTTTTATCCTTGTTTGACACTCAGATTATGAATTGTCTAGCAAGACACAAAAACCTTTCGTTATTCTAAAAGAGAGCAGTAAGTGCCATAATATAAATTACCGAGCCAAAAATCATGTTGTAATGTTTTTTTTTAGTTCGCAATCGATTGCGCGCTTCATCAACACGATCGTGTCCCTATTACTTCAATACACATAGGATGGATGGTGAAGGGAAATTTTCCTGGAACGTTTAAATCTCAGTAGGAAAAAATCCTAATCGTATCCGCGATTACCCAGCTGTACGGAACTTTTGAATTTTCATAACGTAGTTATGATCGAAAGCCATCCTTTTCCAAGACTTGTTCCCATAACATTGTTAAAAAATATCTGCTGCCAGGTATAAGAAACAAAGTTTTATTAAAACGCACCTCAAATAACATTTGTTACAAGATACAAAAAGTCAAGTACCATTTACTTCGTTCAAGTTACATTTAAATCATGTTTTACTGTTGGAAAGGGGAACAAAGTGCTTTAAAGAGCAGCTAGATTCACCAGGTGTTCATTTTTTTCCAATATAGCGACGCCGGTAGGAGCTTCGTCGGCGTGTATAATATCTGCATCGATAGTAGCTTCGTCGGCGTCGATAGTAATATCTGCGTCGATAGAAGATGCGTCGGCGTGGATAGTAATATCTGCGTCGATAGAAGATGCGTCGGCGTGGATAGTAATATCTGCGTCGATAGAAGATGCGTCGGCGTGGATAGTAATATCTGCGTCGATAGAAGATGGGTCGGCGTCGATAGGAGCTTAGTTGGCGTCTGCGGGGGCCCCAATATAAAGCCTTCGGATCTGCTGCTGGCCTGCGTGTTGTCATGCAAACACTGAAAACAAAAGACATTCGTTAGTTATTTACAATGATGTGAACATTTTTTCACTTTTCAAACAGAACGCGTGCAAGTCAGCGCTGCAACGTTTAAATTTGTTGAAATGGTTGTGACTTACACTTGCTAACATATTTCAGTTTTTCAGTAAATGTTTTTAAACAATTAGTATCATAAAGTTAAAGGTCGAATTCCTTGGTCAATCGTTTCCTGCCGGATTAGGTGAAAATCAAAGGAGTGGAGTCACCAAGATGCAATTCTTCCTAAACTCAACAGAGTCTAAACAGAGGAAATAGTCACCTAGTAATGCACGAAAAAAAAAACGGTTAAGAAGTTTGTTCGTTAAAGGGCGGGTAGGAAGTAGAAAAAAATGCAATGAAACTTGAAAAAGTCGACGTTTTCTTGCCTCTATTACTTGAAAAAATTAGAAAATGACTCAAAACGACGGTCAGCCTTTCTTTTTTCTGGCAGTGATTATGAACAGCTGTCTGAGTGTGTAGGCTTTACGAAAATATGAAAATAGTTTAAATAATGGTATATCTTTTTTATTATCAATAATGGCGTCAACTAAAGGGAAAAAATACACCAGAAAAGTTTCGAATCAATCAGTTTTCAATTGCATGGAGTATGGTTTACCTTTCTGGATTCTCTAACTCTGCATTGTCGTTTTCATCGTCATCTTGAGAAACTGGGTTTAGACTGAAAGGAAAGGAATAGATTGTTAGTCATAAGCAACAATCAGGACTGTAGCGATTAAAAAATTGGAGCGCGTAAATTGTTGACTAGCACTATGCGTCAATATTTTGTAAGGAAGTGCTCTGACATGATTCCGTGGAGGAGACGCATCAAGAAAGAATGAAAGATGGGCGATAAAAGGTCGCCTAACCCTAATTGCGAGTTGATTGACAGTTGCGCTGACAGATTCGTAAAATAAATTTTTTTAATAGCACTATCCTTCGAATTTTTTCAAGGAGGTACTGAGAAAGAATTAAAGATGGGCGATCAAAGGTCTAAAGTTGTAGAAAGTAACTTGTTAACGACTTCACTATCCGATGCCGAGGTTGGTGGCAATTCATGAGGGAAATGTGTCATTTGTCCACGCTCCGCGGGCTTTTGGTTTTGTAGCTCAGGGAATGGTCAACTGATTTGATAGTTTAGTACCTAAACGACGCTTGGTGAAGAGAGAAGCATGTCTGATGTCATCATGTATTTGGGAAATTATTTCTGAGACAGAGAGATATGTCTGGTCTCAGTGAACGATTCTGTTCGGCTCAGTATGAAAATTAGTCCTTAGTCGAAAAGGAGTAAAAACGCTGTTTGTTGAATGTGTGGAATCATGCAGTTTACCTTTCAGGATAATCCGACTCGTCAGTTTGCGCATGAATTTCCGCATCATCGTCTTTATCTTCGTCTTCGTCCTCCGTAAAAGCATCTTCACTGAAAATTGACGGAATATAGAGTTCACTTATTTCTCAGTTCGATTAAATGTCATGTCAACTTTCCGACTAAGCATAAACCAAGCCATGACTGTCGAGAAGGAAGCAACTGAAGAGAAGGCGTTTAGCGTTTGTGCATCAACCGACAAACGGAAAAAGGTTTACAATCACAGAAGTATTGAGATATGTATCGGATAACCAATCTGGATAAAACAAGCGGAAAAGAAAATACTTCTGTCGCTGTTAAAATTTATACTTAGGAGAGTTGTTTACGGTCATTTCGTTCCATGGTCAGATCGTTCCAATCAATAGTCAGATCGTTTCACAAATAGTCAGTTCGTTCCACATATGAAAAGTCAAGTAAATTTTTCTAAATTTGTTGAGTGAACTTTATCGAGAAAAATAGAACGTTTCGTTCATACCACAAGCTGATAAAATAATGATCGATCCCAAGACGATTCGATCCATCCTAAGGGACTTGTCAGAAATTAGCAGGGGGGAGGGGGGTGGAAACAGAAGGAGGGTCACAACTTTTTGAGACTCAAAAAAGGGAGAGGTCATGAAAAATGGGCCGTTAAAAGGGGGAGGGTCATGCAAATATATGCCCGTGATCATATAGAGGTTCACCCACAGAAGAAAAAGGAAGTTCTTTATTTGGTAAAAAAAACCTGGGAGAAATAAAATAGTCGAGTGATCAGCTCTCAGAATCAGAGTCGGACTCTTAATGCTATCATCTAAAATGTATGTATATAACATTACAAAGAACAGATTAGAAATATATTTTGAGTTTTCATAATACTGACTCACTCTAGTGTATTTTATCATTTATACAAGAGGGGGAGGGTCATGATAGTTTAGGCCAAGCTCAAGGGAAGGGTTGGCAAATTTCACTCCCACTACAGGGATGGGTCACCTAATTTCCGAACCCAAATTTAAAATTCCCACCTCCCCTCCCCCGCTGCTAATTTCTGACAAGTCCCTAAGTCGTTTGAAAAGAAACAAGAAACGATTTCAACCAGCCACGGGCTTTAACATTTAAACCGCCGCTTTGAGAGCTTTTGAGCTGGAGTCGATTGATGGTTTTGAAAGATATTGCACAACAAGTAAAAGCTATGCCGTTTTGAAGGTACATTATTTCGAAGCCATTGTAACCTAAATATTTCTTTTCAGCGCCAGATTTATGCAAATTTTGAAAACAACGCGAGTTTCGAATTAAAATCTCGAATATAATTGAGCATTGCAAGCTTTTCATCGTCTTCAACCTTTGATTAATATCCTTTTTACATGCGGGGACGTTTGGGTCGTGCTTATGATTCCCGCCCCTAAACAACATACAGTTTTACATAAAGGATGCAGTTGACTCCCGATAACTCGAACCCTCGATAATGTCGGTAGTTTCGAAAACGAAGCACTCGAAAACAAAGACCGAAGCACGAAGCACCCAAAACTCGAAAACGAAGCACCCTAGATCGAAAACGAAGACCCCTAAATCTCGAAAATGAAGCACCCTAGATCGAAAACGAAGCACCCAAAAACTCGACACCGGTCTGCCCTTCATAAACACGAGACCAATGCTAATACAGCAGGAATCAAACAAGATAACGAATCGAATGCAGTTCAAATCTACTCAAGTTGTAAATGCATTTCCGCCGCTGCGTGGGAGGCCCGGTGGGAGGTCATGTTTTGGACGTGATCAGAAAACCGAGAATGCCCAAACTATTTCTACAATATGTTACTGTATTGCCAGTAATTCGCAGGCTTGAGTCGATGATAGAGAGCTTTAGATTCTAAAACGACTACGAGATTTTCTTAGTCCTAAGTGGTGCTCGTGCGCGAACCAGCGTCATTTTGGCGGGAAAACGTGGTAGCCGTCGTCATTACGAGTCTTAACGAAGCGGCGAAAACAAGAGAACAAATGTTAGAAGTTTGATAATTTTGCGATCGGGAGGGGGCGTAACCTCCTGCACATCCAATATGTTAGACTGCAAAACAATCGGTTTTTTTTTCTCAAAATCAGTAAAGAAGTCGGTAAAGCGTGGCGTAAGAGTAATACGAGCGAGCCTCACACTCCGTTTTCAGCCTCGTTTCAGTCCTTTTATTTTATGTTACTGTTCACGCGTACTTGAATACGCCAAAATCTACTGACGGACAGTTTTGAAGTCTACATAAACATGTGTGTGTACCGAAAAAAATGCATATTAAGGTAAGATGTATAAAGTATAGCGAGACCAATAATAAAATTAATACAGTATATCTTATCTAGAAAAGTTCAGTTAAACAGTTGGCAGGCTCTTATAAAACCTTGGGATGGATTTTGTGGACCTTTGGAGGTGCGGTAGACGGACGCATCCGCTGCCTCCACCTGATTCAGGAGCTTCGTTTTCGAGATTTGGGTGCTTTGTTTTCGAGATTTAGGGGTCTTCGTTTTCGATCTAGGTTGCTTCGTTTTCGAGTTTTGGGTGCTTCGTTTTCGAGATTTGGGTGCTTCGTGCTTCGGTCTTCGTTTTCGGGTGCTTCGTTTTCGACCCTAATTAGAACCAAGGTCGATTTACCCTGGATTTCCTTCTTGCATTTACAGTAAGTAAGGGTTATCGGCCTGAAGCGAGGGGTTATGTGATTTATTCCCCTCGTGCGTTGCCCGAGAGCGCAGCCCGAGGGCAACGCACGAGGGCATAAATCACTAACCACGAGCTGAAGGCCGATAAACGGCATATTTTTACTTTGGCGAGGACTCCTCAAGGGTTGCCAAAATACATTGACGAAAAATGCCTCTATTGTTCATCTTTTTTTTTTTTTAACACTCCATGCTGGCACTGGTGGCATTTACAAGTTCCTCTGCTTATTAACTATGTTAGTTTTTCAATGTCGCATTTCAAATAAGTTCTTCGCAGTGAACGCAGTGTCAGAGCGATTCAGAGTCAGAAATAGAGCCGTTTATTACTCAAACTAAAGCAGCTTCGGTGGAGGTACTGCAATTGAGCTTTCGGAAAACAATTTTGAATCTTCATTTGCGGGTGCAGACAACGAGCAAGCAGTTAACAATTTCAATTTTTGCACCGACGATCTTTCGACCGACCTGCATGTTTACAGACAAAGAAAATTCCGGGCGAGGGATCGCTACAAGGAAATTCAGTCGAGGAATCAAGCAAGAATACCACAAACGCACAGAGGTAAACTACATGTCTTCATGGAGTACGCGAGTTTGTGATGACTGCATGGTTAAAGAACAGAACACCTTACCATGACAGCGACACTTTCGTGGAACCGTAGAATACCGTGTAGCATGAAAATTTTGCGGGTTCTAATTTTTGCGGATTGACCTCGATCCGCAAAAATTAGTTCCCGCAGAAAAAGAAACCCGCAAAATAAATGAACGCCGCAAAAATTAACTCCCTTCAGTCAAATTAAAAACTCTGCTTTTAATGGACTTGTTGTGTATTATAGGGATAGGCTTTTGTTTTGTTTTGCTGTTGTTCAGTCCCTTTGTGCAGTAAGATATTACAGTGATTACCGTATTATTCTCCATTAAATATGTAAGTAGAGTGAACTTTGACTCAACATACCGTAAAATAAAAGTTGAAAATACCATATTAAGGTTTCTTCTACTTAAATATTCTGCTACTTGAACAGTGAATCGCATAAATTAGTTCCCACCAGAAATTTCAGTCATCTCGAACCGCAAAAATTTGTTCCCGCAAACCACAAAAATCGCCAATCCGCAAAATAAAACACCCGCAAAATTTTCATGCTACACGGTATAAAGACGCTGTTCAATTTCGGACTGTCGTTCTGGCTGTGGAAATCGATGAATCACAACTAAGAAAATCCGTGAATATGGCGCAAAAGAAACGCAACTCAGTTTAATGATTTTAGTAATTATACCGTCGTGTTTTTAAATATTTCCAATAAGCATTTGCTAATTTTTTTTCTTTATGAAAAGCTAATTGAAATGGGAGGGGATTATGTATTAATATGCAAGGGGGATAAGTCACTTAATCCCCTCGCATTTTAATTAGCTGTTAATTAGCCCCGCTCTTCCCTTTAAACAATCAAAGCCGCACAAAGCTTTTCAGACAGTTGATTCGGGAGTTCGAAAAGAACAAAGGAATCCGAGCTTATGTAAAAATAATGTAAGAACACCGCCGCTAACTCTAAGTAATTTTTGTTTCCCTTCAGATCATTTGTATACAATTTTACCCTCGATAACTCGAGTCATGTTATAAACGCGTGACAATTCGGGAAACGAAATCTTATAATTAAAGCCGCACCGTGATTGCCGTATTGCGGTTATCAAAAGCTTCGTATCTTTTTACGGCAACAGGATTAAGGAGTATAAATTATAGATATTGCTCGTGGTTTATGGATACAAATAAACTCTAAACTGTGAACTAACATACCCAGCGAATTCGGCATGTTAGCGAACTCGAATGTCACGACGGAATTCGAACTCGACAAGTAGCGCCGGAAACCGGCGTAAACCGTGACAGGTTTCTCTCGCTGTCAATCTAAAACCACTTTGCAAACAACAAACACGCAGGTTAATTAGGACTTTATTTTATTTTCTGTGTTGTGGTCAAAAATCGGCAAACAGATTAATCCGACAAACATAAGCTCTCGCCATTGTGTGAATAGTTCTCACATCGTTCCGCAATGCATAGTCACGGAAATTAAGTACGGCGCTCTCAACATTTTGTGAATACCGGTAGTTCTGAAAAGACTTTCCTCCATGTTCCGATCGCTCGGATAACATTCACACGTTTGTAAAATAGATATAATATATGTGGAACGAACTGACTTTTTTGTGGAACGAGCTGACTATCTTGTGGAAACGATCTGACTATTGATTGGAACGATCTGACTTGGAACGATGGAAAGAAATGACCGGATGCCGGAGAGTTCCCGAGTTCGATTCCCAGGAGTGACCACAAATCCTTCCTGCTACTTCTTTCCTTTCCATGTACTTTTAAGTAGCTTTAAATACCCGTAAAACGGAGCGCTAATGGAGAGAGGAGGTTAAAAATGAGCGCACCATCGGCCTCAGGTTTGTTAGTCAGATGACTATTTCGAGCTACCGACGTAAGATAAGGATTCTTTACCTTTACCTCTACTAGTTTTATATGAAGAACAGGCGCCGTACCGTGGCATGGTTTAGTTACCTTTCAGGATCATCCATTTCATCATCACCGTCTTCACTTTCGTCGCCTTCTTTATCAACTTCATCATTCTCAAGGGTTTCCTCAGGGGCATCTAATTCACTGTTATTTTCCTGGTTCTCAGGTGTTTCTAAAGTTTCCTCCGACGGAACAGTTGTCATCAGAGCGCCAATGAAACAGGCGAGAAGGCCAATCACTGCAAAGGACTTCATGGTGGCCTAGAGTTATACCTCAACAGCGAGGACAGCTAAGCCCAACTGAGATGGAAAACTTATCTACTGAACTTCTGCAACGGTAGTAGTCAAGGGCGTTGATATGGCATGTAACCAATCACAGAGCAGTATTCTTTTGTTTAAGTTTCAGAGAACAAATGGAACAATGGAGCTCATTCCTATTCAGTACTTTGAACCAATCGCAGAGAAGATGACGTCTGGAGGTCATTCGCATTCAGGACTTTGAACCAATCACTGAGCAGATGACGTCACGTATAGGATTTTAGTGTGCAAGAAAATGGCGCCCTTACACTGTGAACAGTCTCTCTTTTTCGTCAGATTTAGTGAGAGCAGTGCACGTGCGCGGGAGGGGCATAGCCGCGAGACGCGC